ATATATATCCTTGATTAAATACGATTAAAACTCAATCTAAGCTTTTAGAATTGAAATGAAGTATAATTTCCTCTCCCTTAATTATAGCAAAACAACTTTTTCAACCCCTGCAACCTCACGAATTGAAACTTTTGTTTTCTATAATTAACATTGCTAACTTGCAACCTTTGTCATGATTATCATGCTCCAACTAACATGATGATTATTAGCATAACACTTATGCTCCCACTAGCTTTGACATGTACTCAGAAATCAACTGACTTTCTTACCAAAGTTCAGATTTCTGATACTAGATTGTTTTGATAAAACTTTATCAAAATCATACACCTCTCTTAGATAGCTCACATGTGTGTCTAAACAATTTTAGAACTATGAAAAGGGATGCCGTAATCATAGTCTCAATTGTTTAGACCTTTGCCACTTCTCACAAGTCCATGTTAGTGTGCCGGTAAACCACACACGCTCCACTAACGACTTTGAGAATGCAAATATCACAATTGCTATCTAGCTAAAATCTACTTAGTGAAAGTGTTTCCTCACCATCATTTTCATGAATCAGAGAGAAACCTTATGACACTTAGATTTAATGGTGTATGTGTTCTTATCCATGTGAATTTGTCAAAACCATAATCACAAGACAAGGTTAGTGACAAATCCAAACTCATATTGATTAAACTTGTGCAATCTTAAATTCTTGCCATTTGGCAGCTCAGGTGCCTGCCATTGCTTCCAAGTAGTTGTGCAACCAATTGAGAACTCTCAGAACTCCTATGCAAAGCCAACTTGAATAGGCACAAAAATTTCAACACGATAGGTTATAAACCTCAAGTCGTGGGCTAGTGAAGGACTTTAGGTTTTATTCTTGATTAAGTCTTGAAACTTTCAAGAGCTTTAAGACTCCCACTGTCCTCTTGACATATAAGACTCCCTTGTCAAATATTCAAGAGATAGTGCGGATTCTTTATCAAGACTAACACTTTACACAATTGGCCTAAGTTGGTCTCTGTTTTATCCAAAACATCACAACTTACCAATTTCAAATGTACAAGAGTAGATAACCTTTTACTCTTACATTTGACTAGTGTTAACAAACCCTCTTTAAGTTATGTCACTCAAGTTACAATCTTGGAGTATGACTCTAAGAATTGTTTTGGAACGAAGTATGACTCATCTTTTTGATTTAACCATTTCAACAATTCATGACTCCTCTTCTTAGTCATAAGAATGCACTAAGATGACTTTAGAGGACCAATTGTGATATGGTATCTTAATCATTAAGATGATCATAAACATGATACTAAAGTACTCTCCCATCTTTTCAGATGTGTGAAACTTTTATCTTTCTGCCATACTTTGATTCTTCTTATTCGTTCTGTCTCACATTGAAACTTCTCCAATGCTACAGACTTATACTTAAACTTATAAGTATAACCATATTTACTGAACTTAAGTAAATCATGACGAATAGTCTTCTTGATCTTTTGTGGTGGACTTGACCAGTGCACAAGAATGTGTACTCGATCCCTTAGTCCTTTCCTTATTCACATAAGGAATTAGTCTTAATTTTCCAAGCTGAAAGTTCTCATTCATCATACTATACAACTTGCATGATTCCAAGTTTCGGTCCAATTGAACCTTGGGTGATGAGAATCTTTCCTTATTTGGTAATATTAGACACTACCACAACCGAAAGAATCAAATCCATTTTTCCAATATTGCTATCAATGGAATCTTATAAGCAACAACTTTTCACAAATGCCATTGTAAGGATACTTAAAATAAATAAAATCAAAACCTTTTTCTTTTATTTTAAAACTTTGCGGAAAAACTTATCCTTACAATCCATATGAAACCCTTGTTGTTATCTATTCCTAAGCAATATAAATATCATAACTCTTAAGTAATAGCCCAAAATTCTGATCACCGAACCATGCGATTGAAATCCATCTTCGCGATCAGAATCAGCATGTACTTAATAGAGTTAGACAATGGACTTTACCTGAAGTAGAGCCAAACTTATTGACTTTAACATCCTTAGGTAAATTTGGCAGCTTCGTAACCAATGCCCCTTCCTTTGGCAATAGTTACCTATGGACCCTTGATAATGGGACTATCTCAGACTTCGCCTCTCTCTTTACCATTGGGTCAACCGAGTTGACTATGGCCGATCCCTTTCCATTGGGAAGAGAGAGCTTTACTGGATATCCAATGTCATCATTGTCAATGTCCATAGCGTTTTAGGAAGTTGATCTTAGCAAATAGATAAGATCATTAAGGGTCTTGTCTTAGTCTGTTTCATAGGATTCCCAAAAGAACTCACTATGTGACTTAGAAAGTAGTTGAGCCACCAACTTTCTCAAGACTTTGACACCCAACTCTCCCGGCTTGTCAATATGTGACTACATCTCCAAGATGTGATCACACCTAGACCTTGCCTTGCCAATAGGGCTTGAGTGACCTTAAACTTTTTAGGAACTTGTGGGTTAGGGAGAATAATTGGAGGAGGTGAAAGAAGTATGATATCCATGGGACATCATCTTCATTTAGGAAAGCTTGTTTCAAGAGATTTGGGAAGATCATAAATGTCTAGACCAGACATCTTTTTTGGAGATATTCAAGATAGTTGATTTAAAGTCCTTAATATGACACCCAATATGAAATATTAAGGCTAGGACCCAACAAACTATTTTATAACTTAGAAGAGGATGCCGTAATCCAAGCTATAAAATATTTGAAGGTAGGTGAATGACGATTCACCAATTTCCACCATGAAAAACGAAATAATTTATTAGGTTTTAATTGGATTTGAAAGTCCTAGATCTTTGAGATTCATTGAACTGTTCAAAGGCATGTTTCAATCTCGAGTGTGCCCTTCAGGTTTTGTGACTGGGATGCCGAGGATCACAAAACAAGGTGTGAATAACCATGCAAATATACTTGGTACCCTAAAAAATATTTACCCCTTAATCAGTGTGCCGGTTAACCACACACGCTCCACCGATACTATGATAAATATTAAGTTACCCTTTGCCTACTTTGTTAAATCCAGGTTAGTGTGCCGGTTAACCACACACGCTCCACTAACGACTTAAGCAAAGTGCAAAGTGTAATTTCATGGGTTAGCACCAAATTCACATTTTCCTAAGTAACTAAGATTGGGTATTAATAAGAGTTTAGTTACTTAGTATTTATCATTAATACTTTTAATGAAAGGAGAATTATAGTCCTTGTCCTACCCGTTCGGCTAACGACCCTCCACCAGTCAAGGAAGCGGTGGGTGAGAGTGGACACCCATTAAACTGCCATTTTATAGGCAGTAACCTTATACCCCCCCTTATAGACTGACTTCGTGAATGAGGCCTACTAACGGTAAGACCGACTTTACTCTTATACATATATATAAATATTATTAACTTATAATATTATAAAGTATAAGGGTTGAATTTTAACTTTTAAAATTCTAAGGGCTAACTTGGAATTAAAGTATTCATAAGTGAAAACTTTTCAAATTCCAAAACTTGAGGGCAAGTTTTGAAACTATTCAAAACTAATTAATTCCATAACTTATGAGTTTAAAGTAGTTTTAATTAAAACTACTTTAAACTAATTAATAAAAAAAATAACTTTTTTTATTGTAACTTATGGAACTAATAAAGGTTACACTTTTTTTTTTTATTTAATGAAGAGACTCTTGAACCTCCATAACTTGAGGACAAGTTATGGAGTCATAAAACCATTTAATTAGAACTAGACTCTTCATTTTGTAACCTTTGCCAACTTTTATGAGTTTTATGATTCTTAAATGTGACTTTTCATATAACTTGAGGACAAGTTACAAAAACACACTTTGGAATCAACTCTTAGATTAAAATGGATTGAAAACAACTATTTCACACAACTTTTCTATTAATCTAAGAACCTCATAAGAACAAGATAATTCAAATCATCAAACTTCAAGAAATTAGCATGAACATACAAACTAATACAAATCTTGAAATTATGACAATTATCTTAGAAATTGGATTAGCATGAACATTACCACATCAAAAACAAGTTTATAAGTCCAAAAACATCTTAGAGAAATGTTCCTAGTCCAATTCCAGCCAAAACAATCGAATATATGCATCCAACTCGATTTTTCAGCTACTTTTGCAAGTATAACAAGAAAACAAGCCTAGGCTCTGAAACCACTATTGGGTTATGAGCATTCTAACACTCCTAAGTGTACATGCAACCCTAAATACCTTGGATCTATGTTTTCTCTATTATACATACAATTATGAACATCCAAGGTATTATCCTAATCTAGCATACAAAATAATAAATATAACAAGATAGAATACATACCTCTTTGATGTAGAATGTCTTCATGAAGCTTGAGTGCCTAGTGCCCCAAGTGTGACACCTCAAATGGTTCACACAACACCAAATACACTTGGAATAACTTGAGAGAAACTTGAACACTCCTTGAAATCGTCTAGCCCTCACACTCACACATTAGTGCACGATTTCTTGAGCCATGTGATTCTTTTATATGGTGGCTATTAGGGTTACACCATGTAACTCATAACTTTACCCATTCCTTATGCTCCATAGATTTTAACCTCCATGGAGTATCCATGGGTCACCCCATGGAGTTAGTCCAACATAAGGAATCTTGGATCACAAGCCCACATATATAAGAATGAATGATTTACACAATCAACCCATATATTTAATTAGTCTCCTTTTGATCACTTAATTAATTCCAAATTAATTCTTGATCAATACTAATTAAATAACCTTATTAATATATTAGAACTTATAATATATTAACCAACCTTAAGTGTTATTTCTCTCATTATAGTCTATCCAAATGCATGATGCCATGCAACCCAAATGGACCATGCCGGGTCGGGTCAAGTCTTACCAATTATAGTTATGCACTTAGACATTAATCCAACAGTTCCGCGCTCCAGGACCTCGTCCATTAACTGACGAATTCCAAGCAATTTTGGTTGATGCAGATAAAGCCAAGAAAGGGGGCAGAGGGTCAAAGAAAGCTACCAAGAAAGACACTGCGAAAGAAGGAACTTCAGAGGATACGAAACCTCCCTCTAAAAAGTGAAAGGCTCCTGCTACTTCTACTGTTGCACCAAAGCGAAGGAAGCAACCCGCTAGAAGGCGAAAGTCTCCCACTCCTACTCCATCTCAGAGTGAAGGAAAAATTTTTGATTGCGATACTGAGTCGGAGATTCGCATTGAGGAGGATCCCCATGTTCGTAATACAGAAGATGAGCCCGTTCGCACTGAAGAACCAGAACCTGTTCACATTAAGGAAAGAGAACAGATTCACAACGAACCACCTGTTCGCACTGAGGCCGCATCTCCGACTCGTGAGGTAACTCCACCACTTAATGATTTTGTTCCTTCTCCACCACCCTCACTAAAAACAACTACTTCTGTCCCAATCACCATCGCACCTCTGCCACCACATGTATCATCTCAACCACCCACAACTATTCCAGTCTGAATCCCTATTTTCACAGAATCCACCGTTCCGCCTCAAACCTCTACTGCACCTGCAAGTTCAGTCAACATATCTGATACGGGGGCTAACACTTCACGTTTTTCAAGCCATGTTACACCACCCATCTCTCCCATTCGCACAGATGATCCGAAAATGATTTTCGGAGATGATGAAGATGATGATTTTGACGGATTTCACTTACAGTCCTTTTCAAATAAGGATTGACAGTAAAGATGATGTCTCTACTATGAAAGGGGAACTCAAATCTCTTCATGAGAAGATTGACCAGCTGCTTCTCGCATCCAAAGTCTCCACTTCTGAGGCTTACTCCAAAGCCACTGTTGAGTCAATCCTTGAGCGCGTTACGAAGGAACATACTGCTAATGTCTCTACTTTGTCCAGGGTTGTTTCTGATTCTACTGATGCCTGCAGGACGACGATCGAAAAAGTCGATAAACTAGTTGCTGACACAATAGAATTCATGGAGTATTACAAGAACACATACAACGCCAACACCGCGACTACGAACAAGGTTGTTCAGAATATCGGTGCCATGTTCCAAGCAGAAAAGGCAAACTTTGTAGAACTTCGCACGGTGTTTCAGTCTGATCACGAAGCATTCCAGTCTTCTATCGATGCGAAAATCACAAAGCTCCAGGAGGATCTGGCGACCGAAAACAAGATCATGGATGGTCTCGCCATCAAGGAGGAAAAGTGTAAAGTGTTGGAAACCAAGCTTCACTACACTAAAAATCAGGTCGATGCTTTGCTAGCAGAGAAGGCAGTCACAAGAAGTTGTATCTCTGACGTAACTGCACTGCTCTCTGATATCATTGAGACTCATGATCCCATGATCTCAATAACAGTAAGGAAGCATTTGGCTGAAAAGCTAATACCCGTGTTTGCTATGTTACACCGTTTGGAGGGTGTTTCGACGGCGATGTCTTTTCCAAAACAAGGGGCAAAAGGTAGCTCCAAAGTTCAAATGATTGAAAACCCCAAAGCTCCAGTTAAACCTTCTGTCATCAAGCCAAAACCAAAGAGAAAAGAAAAGCTATTCAACGAAGAACCCATTATTGATGATAGCGAAGACGAAGAGCCTGATGGAGCTGAGCTCAAAAGGTGAAAGGCTCGCAAGGCACAGATAGACGAACATGCTCGCATTGTCAAAGAGGCAGAAGAGAAAGAAAGAGCTGAAAAGGAAGCTCATGCCACTCTTAAAAGCAAAATGTTATTATTTCTTAAGTGGACCCTGAAACGCAATCAAAACCAAGCCGTGGATATGCCAAGCCAGTATTGGTTAGATCCGATTGCTTCCTTTTATATCCAAAATACACAGGATTCACAATTAGACCTACCAATCACACCAAAGGCGTTCAAGTTTCGTGCCTTTGTAAAGGTTGCCAATGTACCTTTCACAGACAGCAATGCGGATCAAATTTTGTTCGAGACTTGGAGTGCGTGCAAGATTGTTGTTGTGAAGGTCACCGGGCCGATCGTGACCGAAAGCTTCCCTAATGCGAAGTTTAAAGTTGCGAGAGGATCAGCATGTCAAGCCTGCGAATTCACTCTCGCAGACCTGCCTTGCTTGAACCCCCATAACTGGATGGTGTTATTTAATATTCTGTTGAGAGAGAAGGATAAGTACGAACCTGTGATGTCCCATCTTCAACTTTTGATCAGGTCTTTATATTTAGGAAGTTTGAATGATGGATGTGGCTATTGCCACTATTTTGAGGCAGAAACCAAGTGTTGTTCCTAAAGAAGCTCCGAAAGACTTCGAGAAGCTCAAGCCAGGCAAAATTTACAAGGAAGGATGGTTTGTGGTATACACGTCTAGAGATCGTCCAGGAGCAGGTCGACGCAAGTTATACTTTCATCTCGAAGACAAACATTTATTTACTACTTCTTGTCTGAAGTTTATTTTGGAGCTGGTTGCGAAGTTTAAGGGCAACAACAAGGATGACGTGAAGTTTTTCACCGATGTGATCACTTGGTATATTCAAGTTCGCAAGATGCAGTTGAGCTTCATTCCCAAAGTCTATGAAGTGCAGAAGCGAATCACGAACTAAATGGCTATGGTATCAATTGACGCAAAGGGGGAGATTGTTGAAGATTTAGTGTTGCGTCATTAGGCCTGTTTTGTCTAGTCCATTTTGTATAAACGAGTTGGGCCTGTCCACTCGTATTTGCTGTTAGGGTTATAGTATATAAGGTGCATGCATGCTACGTATTTTAGTTAACTTTGATAAGTATCTTTGTAACCCTATTTTACACCTCTACAGAATCAATTCTTCATCGAGTTCTTCTGAGGCGTGACTGTTAATCATTCAGCACCAGTTTGATCATATCGTGTTCTTGTTTACCTGTTTTTGATCTATTCAATCTTTAAGGATTTATTCCTATTAGTGCTTATGTATAGGGACCTTTTTGGTCAATGGTATGTCGACTCATGTTTTGTTTGATTCGGGAGCTACCCAATCATTCGTGTCTCTTGCGCTTAGCAAGAAGTTTCGGGATGCACCGGGAACTTTGGATTCCCCGCTTGAGGTGGAGATTGCTGACGACCGCATTGTGAGTGTTGCGAGGGTGTGTCAGGAATGTGTCCTGAATGTGCTTGGAGAGAGGTTCCGCATTGACTTAGTTCCGATACCGTTGAGAGGGCTGAAAGTGATTGTTGGGATGGATTGGTTGGGGGCCAATGGGGCCATGATCGATTGCGAGCGCCAGTTAGTGAGGTTTCTAACCCCAAGTGGGGGAGAAGTGGTTATACATGGTGAGAGGGCCTCGCAAGGGCCAACCCTTTGTTCAGCTGCGAGGGCAAGGAGATTTCTGCAAAAGGGGTGTACGGGTTTTCTGGCCTATATCTCGGATTCGAGGGTTGAGACCACTACAGATATGGGCAGCGTGCCGGTTGTACAGGAGTTTCGGGATGTTTTTCCTGAAGAGTTGCCAGGAGTGCCTCCGGAGAGTCAGGTGGAGTTTCGCATTGATTTGGTGGCGGGTGCCGCTCTGATAGCGAAGGCACCATACGGGCTAGCACCACCCGAGATGCCGGAGCTATCTATGTAACTTCAGGAGCTGCTAGACCGGGGATTTATCTGTCCGATCAGTTCCCCGTGGGGAGCTCCGATCCTGTTCGTGAAAAAGAAGGATGGATCACACAGGATGTGCATTGATTATCGAGAGCTGAACAAACTAACGGTGAAGAACCGTTATCCGCTACCGTGGATTGATGATTTGTTCGATCAGCTACAGGGTGCGTCTAGGTTTTCCAAGATAGATCTTCGGTCGAGATACCATCAGATGAGGATTCAGGATGAGGATATACCAAAGACAGCTTTCAGGACTCGGTATGGCATTATGAGTTCGTGGTGATGCCATTTGGGCTCACCAATGCCCCAACAACGTTCATGGATCTCATCAACAGGGTATGTAGACCGATGTTGGATCGGTCGGTGATCGTTTTTATTGATGATATCTTGGTCTACTCTAAGACCAAGGAGCAGCATGAGCAGCATCTGAGGGAGGTATTGGAGACCCTGAGGGAGAAGTGGCTGTATGCCAAGTTCTCCAAGTGTGATTTTTGGCTGTGGGAGGTACATTTTTTGGGGCACATCATCAACTAGGAGGGTATTTCGGTTGATCCAGCGAAGGTTGAGGCAGTAATGCAGTGGGAAGTACCCAAGAATGCTTCCAAGATCTGTAGCTTCTTGGGTCTAGCGTGCTATTATCGGAGATTCATCCAAGATTTCTCTAAGATTTTCGTGCCCTTGACCCGCTTGACCAAGAAGAATGTGACATTTCGATGGGGTACGGATCAGCAATCGGCTTTTGAGACCCTGGGGCGGAGGTTATGTGAGGCTCCGATTCTAGTAATACCCGAGGGATTAGATGATTTGGTGGTGTAGTGTGACGCATCGATTTCAGGGTTAGGTGCGGTACTGATGCAGAGGGGGCATGTGATAGCTTACGCCTCGAGGCAGTTGAAGCCTCATGAGGCGAATTACCCCACTCACGACCTGGAATTAGGGGCGGTGGTGTTTGCCCTCAAGATTATGAGGCATTACTTGTATGGAGGGAGATGCACCATTTATAGTGATCGTAAGAGTTTGTAGTATTTGATGGATCAGCAGAACCTCAACATGAGACAGAGGAGGTGGTTGGATGTACTGAGGGACTATGATTGCGAGATCTTATACCATCTCGGGAAGGCCAATGTGGTGGCCGATGCTTTGAGCCGCAAGACGGAAGTTTCCCCAATTAGGAACATTTGTTTGAGGATGAGCGTGATCTCTTCATTGTTGGATATGATCAAGGAGGCTCAGGTCGAGGGAGTGAAGAAAGAGAACTAGAAGATAGAGCGGATTCGGGGGCAGTATCCTTTGTTTATTAAGGATAGTCGTGGTCTTTTGACACAGTGTGGCCGAGTATGGGTACCGTTGACTGGAGCAGTGAGCCAGAAGATATTAGAGGAGGCGCACAAGTCCAAACTTTCTATACATCCAGGAGCTACAAAAATATATAGAGACTTGACGTTGAGTTACCGGTGGCCCTGCATGAAGCTGGAGATCGCCTAGTTTGTGGAGCGGTGCTTGACCTGCAGGAAGGTCAAGGTCAAGCATGAGCGGCCTCATGGCAAGGTTCAGCCGCTACCCATTTCCATGTGGAAGTGGGAAGATATCACTATGGACTTCATTACGAAGTCACCGAGGACGGAAGGGGTGTGGACGCCATATGGGTGATCGTAGACAGACTGACGAAGAGTGCCCATTTTATTCCGATCTCTGAGAGTATATATGCGGAGAAGCTGGCGGATATTTATGTGCAAGAGGTGGTGGCTAGACATGGGGTGCCAGTATCGGTAATCTCTGA